CCAATGTGTCTCTCCATTCTTTTTCCAATCTCCCCCTCGAAACCACACTCACTTGGGCAGGAAAGAAGGCAAGGAGTGTTAATATTGGGCATGTATTTGGTCTTTTAGGTTTCACACGGTGGAACGATGCTGAGTGCAAGAAACAGAACGCCTACATTTGCAAGCATGAACTCTGAAGAAGCTCGTTGCACCCGGGGATGCCTGCTGGGAGAATGGATTGGTGGACATCCCTCGCTTTAATAACATTACCTCCTCCTCCATCTTGCAAATTGGAAGACCAACTTCTATCCATCCTTTTCGAAATACCATTTCTAAAGAGTTTCTGCTCTGCTCTCCTGCTTTTCTTGTACTGTTTTTTTTGTGGCTGAACAGGGTAATGTTAATAAACACTTTCTGATGCATATATTTATTGGTATGTTGCTCTTTGTTTCACCCCCTGTTTTCTGGCAATGACTGGCTGCCAAAGAGACAGCCAGAGCCTTATTTCACACCTTCAGCAACTGGGGAAGAAGAGAGGATTTCCCTCTATTTCACAGTTACCAAAGGGACTTATTGTCACTGTTGGTATGGCTTAAATCGTGTTGCTTAGCAAGAGAATAGCCATGACCTTCTCTCTGTTTCTGACTGCTAAATAAGAACGTTTGCCATGACTCTGTGAGGAGTGTTTGAGTGCACTAAGCAAGAGGACGCACACCCTCAAAAATGAAAATGGGATTCTCTGTTTACCAGGGAGGAATATTGCAAGTTATAAATCTTCCCACATGAAGTAACAGGATTTCAGACACTAAACACTTCTCCAAAGGAGGATTTGGTTAAAGAGTGAATATGCTTTAAGATCAGGTGACCTGGAGGTTTGAGTAAGCTTGCCAGGTGAGAAGCATCTTATTCCAAGATGTTGCAGGGCAGAGAGCTGAGATGATAGGGACGGCACCAGGCAAACGCTGGGAGGAGGGGATGGAATAAATTGAGAAATGGAGGATGAGACCAGGTAAATGGACTCAGGACCCAGCCAGTGCTATATCTGGAATTGGAAGAAGGTTCAAAACCAGCCCAGAAATCTTGTGCCACTATGCCAGTCTTTGAGCAGCAAGGATCACAAGTCACAGTGCTAGAGTGTGCCACCTCTACAAATAGAAAGATGAGTCCAAAATCATGCATTCATGCCCTCTCTTCCAAGACCCTGCCCCTTGCCCATGCCTCATTGGCATGCTGATGATGTTTGCACAATGCATACACAACTGACTTTACATTGAGCCAACAAGACTAAGTATTTCCTTGGGAAAAAGGTGGAGATGAGCAACCAGCCTTTAAAGCCTACTAACACACAACGATCCAATTTTTATTCCTCTTTTCCTTTAGCTTTGACTCCCCATCTCAGGATCTGAGATAGGGAAGCAATTCTTCAGACATCATCCTATGGGGCTGACTTGGTCTTTCACAGAAACCCCAAGGTCCAGCCATATTGGGCAACACTTCTTGAAGAAACATGGAGTGTAACATCCATTGGAAACTGCACTGCATGCCACGTCTAGGTTGTAGTTGCATGAGTGAGGAGACAACCCATTGAAAGCAACATTGCCTTCTGTATAAACGGCAGCCAGTGATAACTACATGTGCAACTGAGCGTTGCACACACAGAAACACTGATGAGGACTCTGCCCTGACTGTTTATGCATGAAGGAGGAGAGTGATTTGGGAATGTATGATTCTTCAACAGTGATGCTTGATAAAGATTGAGAGACCTTGATAGGGAATGGAAGATGCTGATGGCAATAGACGTTAGTGAGAGAGGAGAAGGAAAGTAATGAAGAAAAGGTTACAGGAAGAACACAAGGTACATCCATGGATGGTTTGGTGGATCCTCATGCTACCCATCAAAGATTCAATGTGGCTATTCCTTCCCTATTATAGAGCTCTTAAGTTTGCTTAAAGGTAGTCTGGATATGTCAGGCCCATGCTTTTGTTGGAAGAAAAGATGGAAGGACTAGCCAGAAAAGCTAGAGGATTTACTACTGGAGGATGTTATTGTCTGGAGCAGTGGTGGCTGGTGACTTCCATTGCTGGGAGGCTGCGAATTCACTTGAGGTTTTATTTTTCTCTTTATATGAGCTGTCCGAGGTGCCAAACTCCATCCTAAACCAAAAGAGATTCAGCACCTAGGATAACTCTTGCAAAACTGAAGGCAAAATTCTGAAAATATTCACGGCAACTGAAGTCACCAGCTCCACTGATCTGAACCTCGCCCTACTTCGATGGATGAAGCTGGACAATTACTCAATAAATGGCTTGGTTGGAATCCCTTGTAGTCACACGAGAGTGATGGGTAGGGGCGAGAAGGGGAGAGAGAAAGATAGACGTCTCACAGATGGATGGAGGTCAATCCATTGCGCAGTGATCGTGGATTGGAAAGAAAGTCTCTGTGTCTCCAAATTATGAGTGGACAGAAAGTACAGTGGGACATTATCTATCAGTAAAAGATAGTTCTACTAGATCTTCCAACTCCCCAAAAGATAGCAATGTTTACATCAAAACTAGATTGCTCAAATCCAGGTTCCCAATGTGGTGAAGTGGATAGAATAATGGAATAGACTCAGGAGACCACGTCTTGAATCCCCACGGGCATGTATAATCACTGAAGGAATGGGAACTTGTAAAACCACTGCTTAATTATCTCACTTACCTTAAAAGCCCTGTTAGTGTTATTATACTTCTGTCCCAGCTTGAAAGCACAGAACAAAAACAATAGGAATCAATGTTCCATAATTTCTCAAATCAGAATTATGTCCATGTTTACAGACCATCCCATTTTGTGCCTCATTATGAGGTTCAATATATCATTGGCTCCACTCATTCAGCCCCTGTTTTCCATCTAATCCCAGTTGCTGAAAGTTGGTGTTCCAGTGAGAGATCAAGTCAGTCCTTCTCTCTGAGGACAGAGCACTAGTTGATGTCTGAGGAATAGTTTTCCTTCCCCAAATGCCCAGATAGGGTGCTAGGGACAGGAACCAACTTTCTCTGAGCCTTTTCCCAGTGGAACCCCCTCAGAGACCAGGACTTTCTCTTTCAAAGTGAGGAAGAAGCCCTTGAAAAGCACCCTGCACAGATTTATAACCATTGTGGGTGTAGAGGATGGTTTGCTGCTTTCAGTAGATCTGCCACCATTTCCCAATGAACAAAACCACAAAATGAAGTCTTAACACGCCTCAGAAACATACCTGGTAGTCCTGGCCAAACCTTGGCGAGGCTATGAGATTTAATTCACCTATGGGTCCCTTAAAAGCATCTGCCAGACCAGAAATCCTCTTAATATGTTTTATTTAAAACAAGGAAAGAAAAGGAAGGTCAAACAAAATAAAAATTGCATCTGGCAAAGCCAGACATTGAGTGGTTGCAAGGCTATGGGAAGCAGTCACAAAAATCAAAGAATAAGCTTCTGGAAAAATAAGTAAAATTATGTAAACAGGAAACAAACTCAGATCTTTGGCAAAATATTAACAGGCAATGAACTCAAGCAAGATAACGGCACACTAGCAAAAACAAAGAAAGCTATTCTGTCACAAGAACCGAAATCTGCTCTCTCACACTCCCCAGTCCCATGACAGCTCAGCTATTTACCAGTTCCTCCATCATTTATGTTCTCCATCTGTGTTGTTCTCCCCCACTCTATCTCCTAAGAGAGTTCTTAAAGTTTTCCTGAAGTCTTTGGCTCTGTAGTTCAAAGACTCCAAGGTGTGAATTCAAGAGACACAGATCTAGAATACACATCTGGGTGAATTCATTGAAACATTTAGGTGTTAATCATTTTCCACCAAGCTATCATATCCTGCTCAACATTTGGCTTGCCCCGATTAACATATAACAAAGGTCCTGCTTTCCAGGCAGGCAGCCTGGAGTCTCCTCGATCCTCTGATCTCCACATCCGGTCTTGTGTTACGTTAACTTAAATTAACACTTAACACTAACATTTATACAAGGAATCAAAATCACCACTGTTCAGGAATCCCCTCTATCTCTCCCCAGAGCCAAATCTCAGAGTGAAGGGGGAAATTGGATTGTCACGTGCTAGGTGGTTTGGAAGAATGGCTGCTTATCTCCACATTTTCCACAAAAAAGATTTAGCCTTGCTGGCTTAATGTAAAGTTGGCTGAGCTTGCATTATGCTGACATCAGCATACCAATGTGGCAGAAGTGAGGGGAAAAGACTTGGGAGAGAGGGGTCTAGCACATGGCTTTGGACTCATCATTTCATTTGTAGAGGTGGAGCGCTCAAGTGCTGTGACTTGTGAACCTTGCTGATCAAACCCTGGAAGTGTGACACAAGATCTCTGGGCTGGTGTTGAGGTTTTTCCCAGTTGCAGACATGGCATCGCCTGGGACCTGGGGCCATTTACCTGGCCTGACCTCCATTTTCTCAATGTCCCATGCCCCCCATCCAGCTCTTGTTCAATGACTTTCCAAGGGCCTACCCCATCATCTCAGCTCTCACCCCTGAAATCTCACAGAATGGGGTGGTACTCAGCTGGCAACATTCCTTGAACCTTCAGGTTACCCTCGCCTGAAACATATTCATTCTGCAACCAAACACTTCAGAAAAGGATTTAGTTTGACCATGGCTGAAATCCTGTTGCTTCATGTAGCTAACTTGGTACACTCAAGAACTGCCCTGAGAGCCACGCTGGATGTTCCTTATTTAGCAGTCAGAAAGGGACTGAAAATTTCTAATTTTCTCATGCTAAGCAACAGGATTTCAGCCGTACCAACAGGAACATAAGCCACTTTGGTAACTATAGAATAGAGGGAAAGTGGGCAGGCACAACCCCTTGTGCAGAGTTGGGTGACACTGCTCCAGCTGAAATGCTGCCCCATTGCTGAAGGTGCCAAATAAGGCACCAACTACCTCCTCTCCAGCCAGTCATTGCCAGAACCCAATGGGTGAAACAAAGATCAACATACCAATAAATATATGCATCAGAAAGTGTTTATTAACATGACCCTGTTCAACCACAAAAAAAACAGTACAAGAGAAGCAGGAGAGCTGAGTAGAAATTCTTTAGAAAGGGTATTTTGAAAAGGATGGATAGAGATTGCAAGATGGAGGAGGTGATGTTATCAGAGGGAGGGATGTCCACCAATCCAGTCTCCCAGCAGGCATCCCCGGGTGCAACCAGCGTCTTCAGAGTTCATGCTTGCAGATGTAGGCGTTCCGTTTCTTGCACTCCGCATCGTTCCACTGTGTGAAACCTAAAATACAAAAGACATGCCCAATAGTAATACTCCTTGCCTTCTTTCCTGCACAAGGGAGTGTGGTTTTGAGGTGGAGATTGGAAGAAATAAGGAGATGCATTGGGGGAAGGAGAACAAATTAGTTCAGATTTACTGCCACTTTCTGATATATTTTATAGTCAGTTATTCATAGGAGCACAAGGTAGCCTTCCTGTCTCTCCTTCTGCCATGTTATGCTTGTAACTGTTATGCGGAGATGATCCAGATGAAAGAATGTGACCAACCTAAAGTCACCTAGGGAGTGTCCCAGTTAGTGGGAAGGGCCACCTAGGTTTCCCACATCCCAGTCTAAGGTTGCCACCCCTACATCCCATTGGGTGCCAGAGGTGGCACTCTACATCAGAGAGAGGTGGGAAAGTATCACTTGTCTGAAACATGAATGCTGTAACTTGTACACCTGTCTCCAAACCAGCTGAGAAAGGTCAGGAAGGCATGGAGACCCACATGCCCCAGAGATCCTGCCTGTCTCCATCCTCAGAGATCGCGTACCTGTATAAAACACCAGCTCCACACAGTGCTCATTCTGGCCATAGTTGTCTGGCTCACCGATCATCCAGGCCTTGTAGTTGTACGTGGACTCATCAGCCCACCTCCATTTCCTGGTCTGGGTACGGGAGATAAAATAATTGCTCTTGTTAAGAAAAAGTCTAACTGGAGAAATTGGGGCATGGGGAGTTGGGTGTAATTGTGGCAGCGAGGGGCTGGTTGACTCTTGTGGAAAATGAGGGCAAAGCATGTGGGATGTCAAGGTTGATTTCTTTTTTCTGATTTTTTTATTTATTCTCTCATAGGTAGGATGGAGCAATCTAGACCAATCCCTTCATTTTAACTTTTATCATCCTTCCATTCCTTTATCACCATCCATGGACACTCCCACCACAAGTTAGGACCTGGATTCTCCAGGCTCCCGGCTCACATGAAAGAACTTTAAAGGGAAGTGGAGCTCGGTCTTCAGACCAATCACTTGGTTTTCAGACCCATCACTCTCCATTAACAGGAAGATAATGAAATTGGAGACAGAGGTGAATGGGACACTAATTATTCCCTATGGGGAATATACAGGTATTCATAACACCCAAGTTGAAGTAGAACTATATCTAAGCTTTACTAAACAGCTTAGAACACTTCAGAGGTGACTCTCTGGAGCAGAGGGAGTGATTCATGGATTCATAACACCTGAGTATAGCCGGAGGGATGATGGAATGAAGGCCAGATCTCCAGATGATTAGCTGGAGTGGAGAGAGGGAAAGAGGCTCACCTGACGGACATCATGGAGCCCAATCCAGACATTACTTGGTTGTTTTTGGTAAGTGGCGATGTGTTCAGCCACCAGAAGTGTCTCTGCCTTTGTAAGGACAGAGGCAAGGTGGGCTCCTCGCCCATAACTCTGGCACTCAATCTGAAAATAGACAAAACAAGAGGAATATTGGAATGTTCTTACAGAGAGAACAGAGCTGGTACTTTCCAGAATCTGGGTCTTGTTGCTGCCCTGCAAGATAATGTTACACACAGGTCTCTTGTGTTCAGAACGTAAAATATTTCAAAAATGGGTTTTCTTACAGCCCTCAGCCCTGGAGAAGTTATTTATGCATATTTATTTAGTTAGTTTAGTTGTATGCTGCCTTTCCCCCAGAGTTGAGGCCCATGGTGGCTTACCATATAATTAAACAACAAATGAATGAGTTAAAATACAATTGAGATGCAAATATGCAAGTGGAATTAATTATAATCTTGAAGTGCAATTAAAATTAAAATCCTTTCAAATCTCTTAGTAATACATCTTATTTGGAAGGGTGAAAAAATAATTGGAGGAAAATATCAGGAAACTGAACATTGGCAAGGAAATTTGGGTTTTAGGGAATTTCTTGAGAATTTCTGATTTCTTTCAATTCAAGTGCTATAACCGAGGTAACCCCTGTTTCATTTTCATCATTGTGTTTATTTCTCTGCTCCTAGATCCCTGATCTGTACCTCATGCATTACATCAAATCTGGGATGCAGGAAAAGGCTTTTTACCTCAGCCTCTTGCCATGAGAGCTGATGATCGAAATATGCATAGCAGTTGCCCTGGTTTTGAAGCCACTCCCTGGCGCAGGTGTCGGCCTCAGCTGTGGAGAGGGAAGAAAGAGGATGAGAGAAGAGAACAAAATAATGCAGAACAAGAAGCCAATGTAGTATTTAATGAAATTCCATGTTCCTATGGTGGCATGGGCTTAGAATCTGTGACATTTTCCCTTCTGAGCAACGTTCAGATTTGATTCAAATTTGAACTGAAGACATTATTTACAGCCCAGAAACAAAAAATTTTGCCCAAGGTCCCACTGGCCACAGCTTCCCATCCTCCGGGCTGGGTGGGTTTTTGTTTCTTTTTGTAATGCCTGCCTTGGTGACTGCTCCAGAATGCTTTCTTCACCTGCAGCTTCTACTTTGTTCACTAGGAAGAGTTATGGTGAAATTATGTGCCCTGTGGTGTCAAATCAGAGGAGATTGCTACAAAGCTAAGAGGATGGTTGACCAAAACCTTTCTTTCGGGCACATCCTCTCAGCAAGAAAAAAAAATAGCTCGCCCCTTGTTCTGGTAGATATTTTCTCAGGAATCTTTCCCTGAAAATCCTGCGATCAAACAGTGGCCTTCTTGATTTGGGTGGAACGTTCTTACTCTGTGTGCGAATATTTGTGAGCAAATGGCAGGGAAAGTTTTCAGCCCCTGACTGAAAACAAAGGACTTTGACTGACTTATGTATCTTTCTCAAGCTTGTGTCCTTGCCCAGAAAGAAATATGTTCATGACCAAGTTTTCCTGTCCACAGAGAGCTGCCTAGAAACAGCGTTAGCCTGGAGTATTTAATTGCCTGAGGTAAAAAAAACAAAATGGCCCCCATCCCCATGCTATTTGGAGCTCTGAGAATTGGCAGCTGAATATTTCACTATGGATGTTCCCCATGGCACCTGAGGGAAGCCAACTTATTCAAGATTTGTAGGACTGGCTGTATAGTAGACAGCTCTTTCGCACAACATGTTGCTATTTTAGTCATTCTGGGTTGAAGCATCTTCTAAAAAGACTCCCAAACTCCCAATACTTGGCCTCACAGAGCCAACCAGCCAGTTCAAATTATGTATGAATGTGATATCAAGAGACTCGGGTATCCATATTGATTGAAGAGACTCACCTCCCAGGAAATGGTCAGAGAAGAAGATTCCAAGAAGACAAAGGGCAAAATTGGTGAAGAATGCCATTTTCTGGTTGACCTTTGTAGGGGAAAATGCACAAATAATTCAAGAGGTACATTTTTATTGACCTACGCAAGAATGGAAGAAAATGTGATTTCCCCCCCTAGTTCTTCCAATTATAGTTCTGTATTTTTGTTTCCATACTTCAGTTACAAAGAACTGGGAAGATCGAAGAAAGAGAAAAATGCAAGTTTAAAGTGGCTGTGATACTTATTTCCCCAACCTAGCTGGAGAACTCAAAGAATTGAAATGTAAAAAGAGAAGAAAAATACCAGGTTGGTAATGCTTTAAAATATGAACTGGTCAGTTTAAGTCCCCAATGCTTCTTTAATAACAATATACTAATAATCTTAGAACTGCAGAGTTGGAAGGGATCCAATGGATTACTCAATCCAGCCTCTGTCAAGGAGGCACAGTGGGGAATCAAACTCCCAACCCTTCTTAAACCACTGCAGTTTTTCTTAAACCATTCAGCATTTCAAACCCTTCCTCAGCCTTCCTATGCTTCCCGCTAAGGCAGCCTGCTGATGTATGAACTCTGAAAGAGCACTGTTTTCTACAACAGACATTCCTCTCCACAACATAAAGTTGTGTTGTTTCTGTGGAACTCACATGTATCTTAGCATTTTTAATATTTAAAAAAAGAGTTCATTTGTGTGTAATTCTACAGGTGCTTCATCACTCTTCTGGACAAAAGAGTAAGGTAGATATTATTTTATATTTATTGCATGCACCAGAAAACTCTCCCTCCAAAAAGGTAAAAAAAACTGTGGTCATTTAAAAATCATTAAAACTACAGTCAGAAAGTCAGAGCCACATTCTAAAACTAGTTCTGCATATGCATCAGAACACGGCTGAAATATTTGTCAAGTTGTCAATGTACCAATTAATTGGTAGTTTCCCCTTGCACCCAATTAAGATTACTAATTTAAATTCCATAATAATTCCCATTTCATCTCTTCTCCTGGGTCAATGTCCCATGAAGCTAGGTGAGAACATTATCATGGTTGGTCTCTCCAAGCATTCCTCTCTGCCATGTTTCTGACAAACCCTTTGTTAATAAGCCTTTACTCTCCACTCTCTCTTAAGCCCTTGGGAACATGTTGGTCTCTACCCTCCATAGAACATTAAAGAAGCCTCTCAGCAGAATCCACAACAGTCCCTTCAAGCACTCACCTTGTGATCCTCTTCTCCGGAGTGGGCAGATGTGATGGACAGTTGAGCTGGAAGTACTCTTTCCCTTTCTTAAGCAGCTCCTTTATAGTCCTTGGCCAGACATGGCGCAAGACCAAGATGAGCTAAAGAGTTCAAGGATATCCTGGTCCAACACCTTCAATGTTTGCATAATCCCCTGGGCCAAACTCTTAGAAAGCTGCTCATATTGCCGAACACCTAAATTTGAAAAAGGGCAGTGTTCTCTCTCTTTTTTTGAGTGGGGAAAGAGGTACTAAGAAAACCAGTCTTTTGACTCAACATCTCTGGGAGAGAGGTGTGGAGAAATTCATTTTTTTAGACATGGAAATGCTTGCTCATTTCCTTGTTCTCTTCACTCTTGACTCCTGAACGTGGTCTGATATTTCCTTGGTGTGGGTACCTTATCTTTCCCCTTCCTTTTCCCTCTGGTGTCTCCTCCTATTAGATTTTATACAACAAACGTCTTGAGGTACAGACACGTTTGTCTGCTAACTTTGTTTACATCTTGTAGGTTCAAATTTTTATCCAAAAATTATCTTCTCATTCTCATGATGTCTGGAGAAGAGAAAGTTTAAAGTTACCCAATGAGGAAGGAACAGAAACATAAACAAGTTGTTCTAGCCCACTGTGCCCCCACAGGGGCACCAGAATTAGATGCAATTAATCCTTTGTTATTTTGGGGGACTTGTCATGACAGTACACTAAGTTTGGCAAACATATCACAAATCCTTACTGGACATACGGTTTCGCATTCAGAGGGCAAAATCTTGTTGGTGTAAATTTATGCCTGTACAACCTGGATCAGGCCATGGAAAATTTTAATTAAAACTAATGAAAAGCTTCCTCAGATCCACCTTTCAGATTCTGAGTCTCCCTGGGGCTCCCTTTTGTCTTGGGAAGCCTTTGGTATCTTTGGGATGGTGTCAGGGCTTTAGAGATTCACCATGGCCAGGCCTGGGACTAGCAGCTCTCTGCGGCTATTAAAAGCTCCCCATCAGGTGCTAAAAAATTATATTTTAAAAAAACTTCACACAACTGTGGTTCCATTTCCCTCTGATATGGAAACCCATTTAGCTCATGACTGCATTGTTAGCATATGTGTGTGTGTGTGTGTGTGTGTGTGTGTGCATTCAATTCTTTAACACCTGTATGCAATTCAATGCTGCTTTTTTTGAGATGCAAAACTTCATTTTTAAACCAGGATACCTGACTTTTAATGGGTGTATTGATCCGGAAGTGTGAAATTAGAGAAGTTCACAGAAAAGTACAATCACATAGATTTGTTTTCTACTTACTCTTCAGGGAGTCGGCCTTTCAGAAATATAGATTTCTGTATGTCCCCAAAGGGTGAGGGGAAAGGAAGGACAACTCAGTTCAATGACAGCATTTCCCTATATTGGCCTTTTGACAGCTCAGCCTTAAGGCTGTTTGCCCCATTTCGTAACTTTGAACTTTTCGATTCAGGCATCCAAAGTGTGGAGGGGAGAGAGAGAGATGTCTCCTCCACCACTATCATGTCTTCTCCATGGAAAACCAGAGGACAGGCAGGACCTTGTCGCTGAACTCATCTGAATGTAGTGATAAAACCCGGGAAGTAGAATGCCTGAGAAGACTCCTCATGGGCAGCACAGCCTGTCCTCCTCCAAAATTGTCACTTTCCATGTGTAGGAAGGTGGCCGAACCATGGAGGGAGGTGAGAGACTAATATTGGGAGAGGCTCAGCATACTTAATCCCGAATACGCCATTCGTAGGGCACAGGCTCAATTGGACATCGGGGAATCTTCTTTCCGTGCACGGGAATGGACATGATTTGTCCTTTTCCTGAGCTTCGGTCCAGGAGTACTCCAAGACATTCTGGTTCCTGAAGAAGAGCTCAAATCGTGGTCTTCCTCTCCCACCAGGGCCAATTCTTCTTCTTGTTTCACCCTTCAGATTTCTTCCCCTGTCCGTCAAATCCTGAAGGATCCCATGGAACAGGTTGTGTTGAAAGTTGAGTCTACGTCGTACTTCAGACGTCACAGAACCTTGGCAGTGGAGAAGATGATGCCATGATCATTAAACATCTATAACTTTGGTAACATATAAACTTGTCTCTTCACATCCTGACCTTTCCTAAAGATAGTTGCAAAGATAAAACGTAACCTATGCATGACAACCTAAGAGCATGTCAGATGTTTGACACCTGACAATTTTTGGTTTGATAAGATGTACTCTTCTTGGTGGGTAGGAGTCTTTAAAAAAAATTTTTTTTAAGTTATACAATTTTTGCTTTCTGTTTTTCTCTTAAATGTAGGCCCTTTGAACTTCTGACCACATTCTCAGTAGATGCCGAAGTATCTATGTCTGTTTTTCAATGCTGAATCAATGACTTAACTGAGACGTTGTCATTTAGTCGTTTAGTCGTGTCCGACTCTTCGTGACCTCATGGACCAGAGCACGCCAGGCCCTCCTATCTTCCACTGCTTCCCGTAATTGTGTCAAATTCATCTTGATTGCTTCGCAGACACTGTCCAGCCATCTCATCCTCTGTCCTCCCCTTCTCCTCTTGCCGTCACACTTTCCTAACATCAAGGTCTTTTCCAGGGAGTCTTCTCTTCTCATGAGATGGCCAAAGTACTGGAGCCTCAGCTTCAGGATCTGTCCTTCCAGTGAGCACTTAACTGAAACACCCACATGCAATTCAATGCTTGTTTAAAACAAAACAAAATAAAACTGGAGAACATTGTTGCCAACTGTGGAAAAATGTGAATTTCACAAGCTAACCGAATTTAGTGGGTGTATTGGTGCAGACTTATGAAATTAGGGAAATTCACATTAACGTACAAATCAAACAAATTTGTCTCCTACCTTTAAAAGGGCAGCTCTTCTTAAGTTTTTACTCCTTCATTGCCCAGATTTTCCAGTGGCTGTGAATGCCGCAAAACACCTATTCTTTGGTGTGACCAGAAGCTGTAGATGCGAACATGCTCACATAGGTACCCAGTGCTGATGAAATACACTTAGACCATTTCACATCCTATGAGGTGGCTTGTGAAAACATTCAGGAGATGTCAAAGGACCCCTTAGGCATATAGATTTGTGTATGTCCCCAAAGGGTGAAGGAAAAGAGGGAAAAGGAAGGACAGATCAGTTCAAGGAGAGCATTTGCCTATATTGGCCTTTTGACAGTTCACGCTTAAGGCTATTTGCCCCATTTCGTAACTTTGAACTTTTCTTTTCGGGCATCCGAAAGTGTGGAGTGGGGAGAGACATGTCTGCCCCACCACTATTCTGTCCTCTTCATGACTGGCCTCCTTGTCTTGACATGAAAAATCAGGAGACTCGTACTTGTAGTTCAAGAAGAGGTAACCATGTTGGTGCGCATGCACAAAGATGCAGGGGTGCTTGTGCAGGCGCATGCACACTTGTGTGCATGCGGAAAGGGCGGAACAGCGCTCAGAGGGCACTCATACGCATGTGCGAAGGGGTTGGGGAGTGCTCACGTGGGCACAGACATGTGCGTGCAGGCGCAAACAGGCTGTGCAGGAGGGAGTGCGTGGAGGGATCGGGGGAAGGTCTGTCTCTGCAGCCCAACCCAGCCCGGCTTAGGCCATGGACTGGAACCGGACCACGGACCGAGGATTGGGGACCTCTGGACTAATCTACTTCCTCAAACATAAGAGAAAGCAATAACATTGCAAATATTTATACATGGCATCAAAATACAAAAATCATGGTTGATTACCTCAAAGTCCTGGGTAACACAGTTTGGATTCAACTGACGTAGATAAAGCAAACTACAAAATGCTACATTCTCCTATAGAAAAATCATACATGTAAGAGTTAAAATATTCTAACAGAAGTGATAGTATTACTGGCTCAAATCCCTTCTAAGGATTCCCACTGGCAGCTTAAACCTATCATTAATTCATTAAAACCTTCCTCCTCACGAATTTTAATCGCAGCTGCTAAAAATTTCACCACATCATATAAAATGCTTGTGCAATTTAAATAATGCTCAATGAAGGTGGAGATGAGAACCATAAAAAACAGGCGGAGTGCAGGAAAAGATGAGGTTGTAGTCAATGCGAGAGAAGAAAAATCAATGACTGTTTCCTGACTATTTCTTGTCCAATTATTCTCTTTCTTTAATTCTGTTTTATACCATTTGCAACCACTGCTTTGTCCATCTTTTTCCTCAGCACTGAAAATATTTGAAGGAGGGGAAGGTGGAAAAGCTGCACCGTGTTCTAAATTCAAGTGTTATTCCCCACAGCAGTAGACCCATTGAATCAACTGTTGAGGGAGTACGTCAATGCTGATGTAAATTTCAATGGGCTCACTCCAGTTGCGACTGGGTATCAGAATCTGGCCCATGTCTTTGGATTAGCAGTGGGAGAAGCACTCTATCTGGAAGACGCCAGAGGAAGTGGGCATGAGGAATGGAGTGGGAAGACACCGTTTACTATCTAGATGAGGGAAGGTTCTCTGGTCAGAGCAAACAGCAGCTAAATTAAGATTTGTTTCAGTTATGTCAGCAATTAAGACAATTGGGAAGTTTACTTATGCCTCTCTTTGGGCTAGATAGCTCAGTGAATATGGTTCACTGTGGAGCACAAATTGGGTGTTTGGTTCCCCCCCCCTGTGTGTGCCAGGAGAAGAGGCAGCTTCTGTAGCCTTGGGAATGCTGTGCAGTACCAGATGACTTTCCTGAAGAAGGGAATGGCAAACCACTTCTAAATAGGGCATATCTTTTTTTAAAAAAAAGCCATAAGTCAAAATCGAGTTGACAGAATGTAAGTATTATGATTAGGTCTCTTTTAAATATTTTGGTGTGTGTGTTGTATGTGTTTGTTTTTTTAATAGACTGTATATAGTATTTCATTATAATTTATCATATTGTATCAGGTCATATTGCACTTTGTTAGTCTCTAGATTAAGTTAAAGCACAGTTTTCTAAAGGAAATAAGCTGGTCAAGTTACAGAAGGGCAGCCATACAAGGTCTCACGTGGCAAGTCTGCCCTACATGGGACCCCACCCACGGGGGGGGGACCACAGTCTCCCACCACGGCCACTACATTGCCAAAACTGGACGGTGCTACCGTAATGGAAAAGAAGTGATCGTTTCTTTTCAGCAATGTGGTCGTGGTGCCTTTTTTAAAACCACGTTTCTCTTTTAAAACAAGGTTGGTTGGAACAACTATCCTGCACCAGAGGAGATCCGTGGCTCACACAGACGTATTGGTAGGGCCATGAATTATAGGCCAAGGGGTAACCCTGTCACAGCTTGTAGATGTTCAACCTCCCTTCCCTTCTCGCCCACGCCAACTGGGTGCAACCGTTGGACCTGGTTAGGGATTCAGTCTTCCCAGTCTATCTGTCTCTGCTTCAGACCTCCTGGATGTCTCGCGCCTTAACCTTAGCTTTCAGGGGCTCCAGTCGTTCTTCTAGGCTGAGCTTCTTCAGATAGTCTGGAATATAATCTGCTAGAGGAAGGTTGCATTTTGAAGCCACGAAACCAGCATATGCTTCACAATAGGGCTCATCGCCTTCCCACTCGGGCAGGATCTGTCCAATCCTTTATCTCACGCCCCTCCTTTTTGCTGACTTCCCTCCTTTCCTCTAGCTTCTTTATATACCCTTAGTGAAAAATTATCTTGGCAGACTTTCCCCCTCTTCTCTCCTCTTCCTCCCTTGCTGGGTCTTTCCTGCTTCTGGGCTCCACTGAAGCATTCAGTCCTGGGTGATACCTAGGGAAAGGGATCCAGCCCATGGCCACTGTGGCCAAGGCCCTTGGAGGACCAGTAGGAGGTAGGTCCCCCCTTGAGTGCTACCATGTCCACTCACAGATATTCCCAGAGAAGCACTTCTTTCCTCCCAAAAATCTTCATTTATTGTTTTAACCTGCGCAGACTGACCCAAATTCTACCATTGTGCAGTTTTGCCCCGTGCAAAAACAAAACAAAACACCAAAACCATCCCTATAAAAGGTTTTGAGACTATAAATCCCATAATCCTGCCTAACTAGGTCTTCTGGCTGTGGCTGATAGGAATTTTTGTCCAGCTCCATGTTCCCTATTCCTGCACTACTGACCCAGGAAACCACAGCAAAATCCTCTCCGTAGAAACACATAGAATCATAGAATCAAAATTGGAAGGGGCCTAATAAGGCCATTGAGTTCCTGCTCGATGCAAGAATAGAAATCAAAGGATATCTGCCAGGTGGTCCAAGATAAAGAAAAAAGAAAGTAAAGAAGCTTAGCTGCACTCTTCACAGTATCAAGGAGCAGATGGTGAATTTGCCCAGAATTACTGTGTTGTAACGCTGTCCCTATTACTATGAAAAGTTGTTGGAAGTGATTTGCTCTTAATCATAATAATCTTGGAACTGCAGAGCTAGAAGGAATCCCCTTGATTCCTTGAGCCCTTGTCAAGGAAACTCCGTGGAGAATCAAAATCCACCTTTTAACTAAACCACTGAGCTATCCAGCAGTTCTCAAATACATGCTTACATTCTGTTTGCCAAAGATATATTCTTGGTGGACATATTTGACACAGATCAAGACAGTGCCCTTCATTTTTATTTTACCTACCTTGGGAGTTGTCACCATGAGCATCTGCCTGGCAAAATTCACCGCTGGGTTATTGAAGAAGGGGGGTTGCCAAACAAGCTGTGTGAGGCCATGTCATCCCCTGCGTCCGTTTGGAGGAAAGCCGACCCCAGAATCCGAGATGTACTTTCTCAGAATTAAGCCCCACTTCATTCAATGGCGCTTACTGTCTAGGAAGTTTATTCGGGACTCCTACCAAAGAGCTCTCGCCAGAGGGCGATGTTTCATCTGTAAACATAAAAGAGATGATGCTGGATCATCACTGACATCATCCAACATCCATGGGTGATCATTACAGTCCTTTTTCAACTCACCTTGTAAAACAGGAAGCTGTTTTCGATCAAGCCAGGATATTGATCCATAAAGGCCAGTATTGTCAACCCTCAGTTGGAACAACATTTTCGGTTTCAAAGTCAGGATTTTTACAACGGAAAGAAACTCATAATTTCCCCATGCAAAGTATGTGCCCTAGCACACAACAAAATGTGCTTCCAGTGTTTCTTGTGGAAAGATCTGGACCGTATTCAGCACATGGTAGAGCAAATAGTAATCCTCAACCCTTTCCCAACACTTTGAGGTTCTAGTCCTCATGTTGTCAGAGACGTTTTTCAAAGTTATGCCATTGCTTAGAAACACCTCTGGAATTTCCTGTCGGGCTGGCCTGCCAGATTGTCACCAATTAAATATTTTCTGGCTACATTATTAGCATCCTTGCTGGCTGTTGTTGTTTTTAAATCCAGGAACGGTGTCAGAAGAGACGGGAGCACCGGTTTTAATACAAAGGTAAGTTTTGGGAGCCAGCTGGATTGCAAAAGTGGGTTGTGATGTACTGTTTCTTTTATTGGAGGAGCAAGATGTAATGAGAATGAAATTGGTGATGGGTAGGTCCTTCTTAATGTTTCAGGCAAAGAAGATAAGGTTAATTTCTCCCCATGTTCCCTCTTTTTTGGGTGAAGTCTGCTCATCCCAAATCATCCCATACAAGGGAACACCAAGCAAACTCCAGGAGTTTTCTATGCTTGACCATGAATGCTAGGTCAGGCAATTTGAGAAACAGCAAGTTCTGAGTTTGCAACCTAACCTATATTTACAGCAGTCCCGTTGAAATCAGTGGAGGTTAGATTACAGCTAAATTCACAATGATTTCAGTAAGTCTGCCCACACAGAAATTCACAATGATTTCAGTAAGTCTGCCTACACAGTTTTGAGAACAGTGCTTCCCAAACTTGGGTCCCCAGAAGCCTTCACGGCTAGCTACACTGGTCAGGATGTCTGGGAGTTGTAGTACAAATACATCTGGGGATCCAAAGTTGTGAACCACTGCTCTAGAACATGAAGTACTGTATCTTGTGCTAAGTAGAAGCCTAAGTGGGCCACCAGAAAGATGAACAAGGGGGCCATACATCAAATCAAGCCTGGAACCAAAAATGACACAACTGAGGCTGTCACATTCTGGGCACATCACGAGAAGAATCACTGGGACCTGATCTTAGAGGACGGGCAGGCTCATATGGAAGAAGGTGGTCCTTTAGGTAACCAGGTCCTAAGCCGTTTAGGGCTTTATATGTCGAAGTAAGCACTTTGAATTGGGCCCGAGCAGCAACCGGCAGCCAGTGTAAATTTTTCAGTACCGGCGTGATATGAGTCCATGAGGCGGCACCACTTACCAGCTGCGCAGCCTGGTTCTGTGCCAGTTGTAGTCGTCGGACCCTATTCAAAAGCTGCTCACGTATAGCGCATTGCAGTAGTCCAGTCTGGTTGTTACCAGTGCATGAGTGACTGCTGCCAGGCTCCACTCATTCAGGTAACGGCAAAGTTGATATATTCTCCGCAGCTGTAAGAAGGCACCCCTGGACACCGAGTCCACCTGGGCTTCCAAGGTCAGACCGGGGTCAAGGAGTACCCCCAAGCTGTGGACCCTGTCCTTTAGGGGGAGTGTAATCCCATCTAAGGCAGGGAAATGGCCCTTTAACCTATCTGGCGGGGCACCTACCAGCAGCACTTCAGACTTGTCTGGATTGAGCCTCAGTTTATTGACCCTCATCCAGACCATTATCGAGTCCAGGCATGAGTTCAGAACGGTGACTGCCACACCTGGATTGATAGAGAATGAGAGGTACAGTTGGGTGTCATCAGCATATTGCTGACTCCTCAGCCCAAACCTCCTAACGACCTCCCCCAGCAGTTTCATGTAGATATTGATACAGTGCTTCCCAAACTTGGGTCCCCGGAAGCCTTCATGGCTAGCTACGCTGGTCAGGATGTCTGGGAGCTGTAGTACAAAAACATCTGGGGATCCAAAGTTGTGAACCACTGCTCTAGAACATGAAGTATCTTGTACTAAGTAGAAGCCTAAGTGGACCACCAGAAAGATGAACAAGGGGGCCATACATCAAATCAAGCCTGGAGGCTGTCACATTTTGGGCACATCACGAGAAGAATCACTGGAACAGACAATAACGCTAGGAAAAATTGAAGGCAGCAGGAAAAGAGGAAGACCAAATATCAGATGGACTGACTCTTTAAAGGGACCATAGTTCAAGATTTTCTAGAGTGAGCAAGGCTGCTAATGGCAGGACATTTTGGAGGTCACTCATTTATAAGAGCGCCATAAGTGAGATGTGACTTGATGGCGCATAACAACAATAAAGAAGCAAAAATAGTGAAACGGCAGCTGTTATACTTTGGGTACATCTTAAGAAGATAAGGTTCACTGGGAAAGACAATAATGCTGGGCAAAATTGAAGACAGCAGGAAAAGAGGAGGACCAAATGTGAGATGGACTGACTCAACAAAATTACAGTATCGCCTTGAGTTTCCAAGAACAGCAAAGAGCCCTTTAGGATAGCCTCTTCTGAAGGTCCTTAATTGATAGGGTCACTATAACGTGGCAGCCCATAACCACCAGCAGTTGTGACAACACAGAAATGTGGCAAAAAGAAAAAACCGAAGTTTATGTATATGGTTTTCTATTTTGACTACAGAAGTATCCTTCCCCCGCTCCCTTGTTTAAAATTATTGACAAGGTTTGATCTTTTTGTGGTTTACCTATATTTAACTAGACACAGACTATAAAAACTGTATTTTTTAAAAAATCTAATGAAAAGCAGTGCGTTTGAAAAGCTGGTGTTTAAGCTAGAAAGTGGTATACAGACCTCGCAAGAACTCTGTTCCTGGTTGTTGTTAACCAGGAATCTGGCTCTATACGGGATAGAAGATATCAACTTTAAGTGATGTAACAGGATGTGAACCTCGGAAAGCTTGTATGGTGTTACTGCATTAAAGTCACCCCGCCCTCAGAGCATGAGATGTAAAGAGAAAAATGCAGGGTTGATTGTTCCATCCTGTGTTATCGGAGGTCACCTGTGGAATTTTCCTTCAAAATGTCCTTGGTTTCAGGTTGGGCTGGGATTTCTATATAAAAGCATTTAGGGCCCTTGTAGAAGCAGTTCAGATCTCCAACCAAAGGCTTAGAAAAAGCTGAGATTTCAGGCTGGTTCACACCTGAAGCAGGAGAAGGCTATGGTTCACAGCAAGAGATGAGTCAGTCACAGCCACGCCTCTCCCCCTTGGGAAAGGTGAGAAAACCTCTAGTGTAACAACACTTAATCTACTGCTTATATCACAGCCAAGGTTTTGCAGCTCTCAGTTTCCCATGAAAAGCTCATTCCAAGCCATCCATTTGAGCCCCTCACAAGTACGGCTGGCTGTTTTGCTAGGATCTCAGTAGATAGGATGGACTTCGGGGAGAGAAGAGGGAAGGAACTATTGGAGAAAGAGAGAAAGACCAGAGAAAGAACGGGGGAGAGAGAAAGAGGGAAAGGATGTCAGAAAGAAAGAGAAGGAGGGAGTCATCAGAAAGAGAGGAAGGAACGGTGGAAAACCAAGGATGGCAAGCAGTGACAGAAAGAGGAAAAGGGGTGTTGGGGAGGAGATTGATGGAGAGATGGAGGGAGTGACTCTATCTATCTGACTTTTACAAATTTATATCTAGATAAAACAGTGGTGCCATGGTTAAAGTACAAGGCATATGACTAAGGAGGCCGGAGTTCAAATCCTCCCCGGCCCTGAAACTCACTGGATGACCTTGAATGACTCACACTCTCTCAACATGACTGAACTCACAAGTTCTGTATACTCACTGAGGATGCAGTGGGAGGAAGGAAACCATGGACACCTCCTTGAGCCAATGGAAGGAAAGCGGGAGTCTGACTTTTACAAATTTATATCTAGATAAAACAGTGGTGCCATGGTTAAAGTACAAGGCATATGACTAAGGAGGCCTGAGTTCAAATCCTCCCCGGCCCTGAAACTCACTGGATGACCTTGAATGACTCACACTCTCTCAACATGACTGAACTCACAAGTTCTGTATACTCACTGAGGATATGGACACCTCCCTGAGCCACGGGAAGAAAAGCAGGAGATTTTTTTCTCTATTGTCCCACTGAAGCCTCAGCCCAGCAACTGTTGACCTAGAAGATCGACTAGAATTTTGCAAGTTCTGTTGTCTTCTGGTTTGAATTTCTAAGAACATCTTTGAATGTCTGGATTGTTTGAATGTCTGGATTCTGAGGGAGAATGGAGATAAGAGGTGCTTTCTACAACAATCCTTCTCTCAACACTGGAAATTAGTGGATACACTTCACAGCAGGCTTCATTTAGCAGCTTCATGAATACTTCATCAAGTTTCATGAACTGGAACTCAGTGGAGATGTTCTGTTATGATAAGCTTTGTTTACCACCAGTCACTGAATTTATCAGATTTGTAACTATTGGCCTGGGTCTAGTGTACTTGATCTGTTTTGAATGTTGCCTCCCTATTAAGAGTAGCCCTGGAAGCTGCCTAGAGTGGTTGAGTAGACCAGATAGGCGGGGTATAAATCAAATAAATAAATAAAATAAATAAATAAAGGCAACTAAATGACCATAACAACAATGTATAAAATAAATAAATCATATATTGGTGTCCTCTCTCTCCCATAAAGTTTAGAAACATGTCACCAGATGATGACATGACTGTGATGCAATAACATCCTATGGCAAGCTTTTTCATCCATGGCATCCAATTATCTGATATAAAATGTTATAAACATTATATATAAACACACACATACATCTACATATAGACGGAGAGAACAAGGAAAAGGCCACGTAGACCCCAAAATGTAAGAGCAGGCAATATTTTTTATTGGGCCACTAAAGAATCAAACAAATCACAAGTTTTGTGAAGAAAATTCCACTTCTTCAGGCTTAGCACAATCCATAGTGTCCAACGTGGACCACCAATTTTTGGACTCTTGTCTAAGATTCTTCTGCACTACAGGTTGCGCTAAGCCTGTAAAAGTAAGAGCTTTCTCCATGAACGCTTGCAATTCATTTGATTCTTCAGTGCCCCAATAAAGGTGTCACCCACATTTGTGTGATATACGTAGACAGTCTGTTAAACATTCATGTCGCCATACTTCATGCAGAGCAGATTTTTGGTATCCCACTTTGTTTTGTTTTTTTAAATCGAGAAATTGCTTTGCCGTTGTCTTTTGGCCACCTTCAATGATGCTTTATTGGGTTGGTTGGTTGGTTGGTTGGTTGGTTGGTTGGTTGGTTGGTTGGTTGGTTGGTTGGTTGGTTGGTTGGTTGGTTGGTTGGCTGGTTGGCTGGTTGGCTGGTTGGTTGGTTGGTTGGTTGGTTGGTTGGTTGTCTCAAAGGATCTGCTCCTGTCTAATTTTGCTTCCACCCTTTGTTTTCTAAATTTGAGGCCAACCAACAACCACAGTGCCAGCCATGGCAGACCAAGGCTCACACCCGGGGCTAACCGGGATGCTTCTCCTCCTTATGGTGGCCTGGTTGGCCACAGTGGACGCTGAAAGCTACCAGAAGTTCCTGAGGCAACACGTCGACTATCCCATGACCCAGGTCCCTGAGGCCCAGTACTACTGCAACCTCATGATGAAACGCCGCAACTTGGCCACCTCCGGCCACTGCAAGCATCTCAACACCTTCCTTCATGCGGACACTGCCTCCATTCAAGCCGTGTGCGGGCAGGCTGGGGATCCCACCACAGGCGACCTCCGGGAAAGCCACGCCAGCTTCCCCCTCACCATATGTCGGCTTCAGAAAGGCTCATGGGCTCCTGACTGCAGGTACCAGGGGATCTCTGGCCTTGAAAGAATCATCATTGCCTGTGAGGAGGGGTACCCTGTCCACCTGCAGACAGAAGTTCCAGGTTATTGAGCCATCTCGAGGGAGCTGGGCTAATTTCTCCCTGCTATTTCTTTAATTCACGAAGAACAGAAACTCAGTTCAATACATCTCTCCCTCCATCAACTTGGGAAAATAAAATAAAGTGAATTTAATGCTCCTTCTCTGGTGGTGTCCCTGTTTTGGAGAGACTCGGCTAACTTCCTTGTTTTTTATCATACAGGCATTTTCTTCCATTTCAAAAGCAAATGTTAGAAGCTTTCTTGGTCCAACAGCAAAAATTCATTGATTGTGGGATTTGATTTATGTACTCCTCATTTGCCTATGAAAGGCCACTCTAGGTAGTTCACAAGAGAAAACAGAGCAATCATCAGCAACAATAAATTTTAAAACTAACAACAAAGCAATATAAAAGAATAAATATGCACTAAACATTATAAATTAGAAGCATTATACACTTAAAAATAGAATACCAACAAAAAAAATCAATCCCTTTTTTCAGTCTATATCACTGAAGTCATTATAGCCTTCGCTCACTGATACAATGTATTGACGGGGAAAGAAACATTATACTGTATAAAGTGGCGATTCGTCACATCCCAACTGGACAAAAAACAAAAGAAGGGCTCGTCCGGGATTTGAACCCGGGACCTCTCGCACCCTAAGCGAGAATCATACCCCTAGACCAACGAGCCACCTGGCAAGCATATTTTGTCCGGTATTATTTTTTAGTTTTAGTGCCACCTAGTGGCAACGTTAGTATTTCTCCTTTTTTTTCCTCTAACCAAATTTTAGTTAACGACGTTCTTCTTAATTCTCTCTCTTTCCCAATATTTTTGAAAGATGTGACAGGGAAAAAAATTAAACGGGATACTCTCTTCCAAATACTTTTCCAAGAAAGAAACAGAGAGCAATTAGTCGCAATAAATAACCCACGAAATATGCTTTGTGCTCTCAAGCTGCGAGTGTTTTAAGGACAAGAGTTCCTCTGAGCATGCACAGCCTGCTTTTCTCCCACGTCAATCACAGCTTGATTGGGAAAGAGCTTAGCTCCTGCACCTCTTTACCATTGCAATGGTTCAATCCTGCACATGTGTGCATGTCTACTCCGAAGTCAATCTGACCAAGATCAAAGGGGGCTTGCATTCCCTGGTACGTATGAATGGCCACCGAATGCGTGTACCTGGAAACAGAAAGCCCACGATCTGCACCCGATGAATTCAGTAAAGTTTGCTTCTTGATCGCCCTTAAGATCCTATCTTTGAAATATACGTTCATTGTCCTTTTGTTGACACAGGGTTAATTAGGAAGATTTACTCTTTAATAGGGAAGGGAATTATGGAATGGGAGGATATGGTGCTGAAAATCCCTCTCTGCCTCCCAACTTCCCACCCACCCCCACTTCCAATACATAATACGACGAAGAGACTCGTGACACCCCGCAAGCTGACACATTTACAATGGCAATGAGAATAGTGAAAATGAAAAGGACATCCGACCTGCACAAAAAAAAACCTCATGGCTAATTAAAAACATCCCCGTCACAACAATATGCTCATTAACAATATATCCCCATGAGAGGAATTTTTTTTAAGGTCGAAGTATTTCTGTTTTTGGGAAACATAACAAAGGCTCCAGCGAGATTTGAACTCGCGACCCCTGGTTTACAAGACCAGTGCTCTAACCCCTGAGCTATGAAGCCTTGGCTGGCAGAGGACGTTCGAGCGACGGCCTACAAAGCTTATCATTGGAGGAATTGGGTCTCCAAAGCAAGGCTCGTGATGGGACAAGAGGAGAGGCTATGAAATCCCTGCTGACACGTGTTCTGACGTTCGCACGAGTGGTGCTTCCGGCATATAAGCGTGCAAGGTTAAAAAAACTTGTCCAAAGAATCTTAGGAATTAAAGATAAATAGCAAAACGCAAGCAACAGGTAAAAGTTACTCCTTGAAGAAAGAGAATTAATTATAAAAAAAAACCTAGAAAGTGAGAACAATGAATGTGCAGAAAAAGAGAGGGGGGAAAAACCCACATCTCAAAATCTGTGCTTAGTGAGTAAACTTGCCTGAAGAGGTGAGTTCATGGTCAGGACCATAAGACCTAGGTACTTGAAACCTTGAATTTCTTTTAAAAAAAAAGTGAGGAAAGTACCCAAAATCTCAGAGAAAGCATTCTGTGATGATCCATTAAAACATATATACAATGTTGTCCAATTTCTATAAACCACTCCCAATTGATAAACAATGTTTTAAAAACTGTCTTTACAGATTAAAAATAGGGCTCGTCCGGGATTTGAACCCGGGACCTCTCGCACCCAAAGCGAGAATCATACCCCTAGACCAACGAGCCAGATGTCCTGTTTTCTTATGCAAGGCATATGTCAAGTGAAAACAATAATCTGTCTCCCATGTGTTCATTCTGCTTCCTGTATTGATCTGTAGCGCCATCTCCTGGTAAAACTTTTAAATTCTTTCTTGGTGTTTTTTGGTACAGTATTTTCCTCTTTCCAGAAATTAAAAAAATCTGAATTATTTTCTAATGGCGTTTTCTTCCTAATAGCGCTTGAATCCTTTCCAAACTGAACCTGCGCATTGGAAGCTTGATATGTACTGTATTCTGGTAAAATTGGGATTACATAGAAGTCAAAAGCAAAAATATTTCAGAATTATTATTTTTTTGCCCTGAACGAAAGAAACATTTAAACTCCTGTCGAAATGAAGACAGCACATCAGTAAATCTATCTCCTACTTTGGCATGAATCTGGTTTTTACAGGAGAAAAGAAAATCCTTAATCCTCTCCTACATAAATGGGGGAAGATAATGTACAAAATAAAAGGATACATTGTAAAAAAAAATCAAACTAAAACTTCCATTGAGCTATACAGAGTTGCCAGTTTTTCTTACTGAATCTCATATTTCTCCCATTGCAAATAAGGCAAAAAGCAATAATTAAATCATTGTGCTGCCTTATATGGGGGGAAAATGTTTCCACGTAAAATTTTCTGGATTATAATCCAATCCTCAAAATGTGGAGTGAAATACATGTGATTTTTAAAGAAAGATTCTTATGCATTACTGCTTTGACTGGATTTCTAGTACCTGTCTTCCATTATTGTGTTATCCATTTCTCAGAGTGGCATTGGTGTTGTTGTTCTTAATTGTATATTTACAGTTCCTGTTTTGTTTTCCATTTCTCAGAGTGGCATGTTCTTAATTGTATATTTACAGTTCTTGGCTTTAATATTGCCTTTTAATGATGTAAGAGGCCACTTTACTCCTTCTTCTTAACTTTAAATATTGTCTTCTAATGATGTTAACCACCGTTGTATACTCCTTGTTTTAAATATTGTTGCCCCCTTCGGTCGTTTTCAAGGAGAAAGGTGGAATAAATAAATACCTAAATATTTAATCACAAGCTTATACTGTATAGGGGTGTATGTATCCGGTTATACTCCTTGTTTTCAATTTTAAATATTGTTGCCACCTTGGGTCGTTTTTAAGAAGAAAGGTGAAATAAATAAATAAATATTTAATCACAAGTTTATACTGTATAGGGGTGTGTGTGTCCTGTTTGTTGGTGTAGTAAACTGCACTAGAGTAGGCCCATTCAATCAACAGGAATTTAGTGTGTTGTAGTGTAGTAAATTGCACTAGAGTAGGCCCGTTCAATCAATAGGAATTTAGTGTGTCAAATCCTCCATAAATTCCTTTGATTCTAATGGCACTACTCTACATGCAACTTTCGGTGCTAATGTAAGTCTCAACTGGAGTAGACCCATTTGAAATCACTTTAGAACCTCCGAGGAAAATTTATCTTTTTCGTAACCCACCTCTTCCTGTCCCGTTGCCCTCCAGGGATGTGGGACTACACATCCCATCTTGCCATGCCATCCAGTCGAGGAGTGCCCAGAGTGGTAGTGATGATGGCAAGCGTGGTTCAAGATTTCAGGAAGGCCCCAGGTGGAGAAAGAGATGCGCCGACTGATAGAAGAATGAATGTCCACTTGGCTTTGGGCTGGTAGAAGATGGGCCCAGCGGACGGGGAATCTTCAATTCAGAAGATGAAAAGATACAGAGTTGGAAATAATAGAAATTTTGGCTTTCAAGGGCTTCTCTGCCCTATTGGTTAAGCTCGGGATTGTGTGATAGTGGCTACACCCCCAGGATAGAGGACTGAGGAAGTATATTTCGGTCTGAGTACATGATAGCCATATCAATTCTGTGCTGTGCCATTTGGTTAGTGTTTCCATCTTTCTGGGGAGGAGGAACTGGAGGTGGCATACATACTCGTGTTAAACAGGCTTCCAGAAGCAAATACCCTTGAGTAGGTCCACGTTGCAGAGTTTTGAATTTCTTTTGCTATGGAGGAGGAACTGGAGGTGGCATACATACTTGTTGCAGAGTTTTGAATTTCTTTTGCTACGCAGTAGAAGTGCAGAGACTCTCGGCGGAGAATAGTTACAAGTTTTCTCCAACAGTCCAACCTTTTCTCATTAACTAACACTTCAAGTCTCAATAACTCACTTTGAGACATCTGGGTAAGAGAAAGAATAAAAACATTTCATTACTTACAGTTGTGAAAAGATCAACAGCAAACAAACAACACCAAACACCAACTGAGAACTGAGGGGGAGCACTCAACAGAGAGGTGGGTCTATCTTTGAATTCAGAGGTGAGAAGGAATGATTGATTACTCCCGGATAGATTGACAGTCATCTCTGCCAAGAACGGTCCCTCCCAGCCACACCTACTCCAGGCAACATGCAAGGCTGCAAATAAAACTCCAGCAGTCCATGCCCTTTCAGAGCAAATTTGTATGCCCCTTAAATGTTGGCACCATGGGTCAAAGCTCCACTCAGCCCTAGCTGTATCTCTGCCTGGACAACCATGGGGTCAATGCTGAGGTGGGCTTAAGGAGTAGCAGCAGAAGCTACTACAGGAGAATAGCACTGTGTATGCATTTTATGTGGGTTGTCTTTATCCCCCCCAAAATACTTTGCACCCATCTGATATCATGCAGACTGTTTTGCCCTTCTCAGCATCAAGGAAAATAGATCCATTAGCCCACTGGCTTATGGACATGGAAAGTGGGCTGAGGCATCATTGT